ACTCTGTTGATTATTTGCATCTTGATCTCTCAAACTTGTCATCTTCATGACTTACTTAAAATCTGTAATTAGTGTTTATCACCCCCCCCCGCTACCACTTAAATAATTGGTGTTTTGATTAAATTGTAAACCTATATATCAGTGTAGAGCCAAATACGAAGACCTAATTGAAAAGTAATATATCTCTTCACTCAATCAGTCTTTTGTTACATTTCTTACACAGAAAATAGAGGTACACGGAGTATGTTATATTATAGAATGGAAGTTATTCAGGCAGATCTAATAACAGAGAACAGTATATGGCGTTATCATTATTATTTACTAGCTTTTATAAATTCTCAATTCATACTATTTCTTTGTCAGAATAACAACGACCTTTAGTGTACAAATAAGTAGACAAAAGAGGACTTTACGAAAATGAGATATTTTAAGTAAAATATAATGAATAGAGAACAGTAGGGGATGAATACTTTAACGGTTTTACGTTAATGTCACGCTATGTTTACAATAATCTTAACTGAAAATTAAAACACTTTTTAAGAAACTTTTAGAAATGATACTTAACTATTTTGTTTTAATCTCATATAATGAATGAAATAATCTTATATAAGGTAAGGGGATTTTCAATTTCATGGTAAAGTTGCGGTGTAACCACAGATACTCACTCCATCAACTATGCATGTAAGTTTATTACAAAATCATACACTAAATCAATCCTGTCAGAATCGTTAATAGAAGTATAGTACTTTAGGATACGATAGGGTAACAGAAAATACAAACTGATTAATTTAAACAAAAAGGAATAGTCAAGATGAGCCTAGTTGTTGTCTTACTCTGTTTAATTATATAGATTGCTGTCTGATCAATATAACTTCCATATGATTAGTGGAAGTTATGTGTATGCGTACAATATACTTACCAAAAATTTTATATCAGAAAGAATCATCTACTAATCAACCAACTGAGAATAGTTTCTCTAGTCCTTAAACAAGCAGTATGTAAGAGGTTAATAAATTGTATCTGAATTTCTTTGTTCTTAAATAGTATTTCAGATTGCACAACTTAAGAATCACAGACTGTTTGAACGTTGATTAATAATAATCAAACAATAAATTATTATCCTCACAAAAGGGTTATTCCATAATATCAAATTACAGTTCCCCACTTCCATAAGCAAAACAAAAAAGTGAAACATGTTCAAATAGTCTTCACTTGTACTGCCCACCATAAACATTACATAGCTAACAAAATTATCCGATTTTTTCAAACAACAGTAGATAGAGAAACTCTACAGTTATGATTTAGTGATTCATTGCATAAGGTGTATTCTTACTTGTGTAATCTCGGCGTAGTATAATAGAACAAATAACAAAATAAACAAGTATCTTGTATTATTCCTCAACGTTTCAATCTTGCTAGGAAGATCCTTTTCAAGAGTATAAATCTGACATTAGGTTTTTAGGTTAATATTCAAGTTTTGGTACTCTTGAAAAGGATTTTCCTAGCAAGATTGAAACGTTGTGAAATAATACAAAATATTTATTTTGCTATTTGTTCTAATATACTACCCCGGGATTACACAAGTACAAATACACCTTATACGATGAATCATACCAACTAGGTGCCCAAGTTTTTTCAAACTATCCAGTCCATTGTTGGTCAGGATACCTTTAAACTTATGAATTAGTGGTTAAAAGTTGAAGTTATAGAATCACATCCGATAAATATAGCCTGATAACCGTCTCAGAATTGAGATTTATGTTGATTACTAATCGCATTCTGGTTTCGTGAGAAGTCAAATGTGGTTTAAATAGTTTAGTGATAATGTTTGTGACTTAGACACCATGTTATACAGATACCAGGGAACATCAAACTTCTCAAGGTTATTGATGAGGACAGTCAAGCATGAGGCTCATACATAGAACATTCTGCAAATTTACTCTAAACACCGAATATTTGAGAGTTTTCTACCTCTTGACGTCCATTTCATTGGGATTTATTGACAAAAACCTTATCATGATTTTGTATTTCCTGTCTTTATCACTTTGGAAGAACAGGACCAGACGATTTCTGAGGTGCTAGACGCATTCTAACGGTTATTATTCAAAAGCAAGTTTGCAGTTTTATTGCTTCGGCTATGCAATAACCATTAGTATTATAAAATTGATAAATTTCACGTCAATCAGCTTTCAGTTTTGTCAAGTGATAACAGTCATATAACTTTATAAAAGATGATGACTTTCATTGGACAAAAGGTGTCATCTAGTGAAAGTTGAACTTTTCAAAATTGGTGAGAAAGTAGATAATGAACAACCCTTGTATGATTTAGAATTCTGTGCAGAACATGTAATTCCCCCTCTGTAAACATAACTGTAAATGTCCTTACATGACGCATATTAAAACTGGATCCTATTAAATTAAATTGGCAGTAGTCGAATGCAAAACAAAACAAAAATCGTTTTCAAACTAACGTTCAGACCATACTTGAAGATGGCTTATTAATTCCAGTTGCGAATTATTTACTCAATCATTAAGAATGAGAGCAACGAATACCAGTGTACACCACAGACGATATCACTTTAACTAAAATATAATTTAGTGGACCAAGAGGACGAAGGTGACAAATTCCAATCAAATGAAGAAGCTGCCAAGATGCAGAGTCTTCTCAACCCCCTGAATGGTAATTGTATAATGTTTAAGATGTTTTTCTCGTCACCCAAATGCAAACTGCTGCTCCAGAACTGATCTTAAACAGTGCCCCAGGTAATAATAGGAACTGAAGTAGTTGAGTGAGTTGAACGCTTAGCTTACGCGAGAAGTCTGATCAGTCATGGTGGGTCAGTGGTCGATGAAATCTCGGCGCAAATACAAAAGGCTTAACTGGCTTTCGCCAACTTACGCCAAGTGGCATGGCCGTGATATCCAACTGTCTATTAAGGGTCAAGTGTTCTGAGCGTCAGTTCGCTCTGTTCTACTATATGGCCGTGAAACGTGGTCATTAAAGGTAGAGGATATGAAAAGGTTTCAGGTGTCCATCGTTGCCTTCGTAGCATAGGTCGTGTGTCATGGTGTCACGAAGTAAGTAACGTAGAAATCAGAAGTTTTCTAGGCATAAGAGGGAAGTCGGTTGACGAGGTTATGCACCTCCGTTGACTGAGGTGGTTGGGACATGTGCTACGATTTTCTAGTTACCATCTGCTTCGTCACACAATGTTCACTGATGTAGGCTTACACTGGAAAGAGGTGATCAGACTAAAACATAGAATCACTGCATGAAGTTTTTGACTGTTGACTTGTGCAATGTAGGGAAATGTAGACCAGCCAGCTGGGGTCCATGTGATTGTAAGTGACATAGCTCAGAATCTAACTCAGTGGCGCAGATGTATTCATTAATTGTCTTTTTCTTAGTCGTTATACTGAATTCATCACTTTCTCCTTCCTCTCTTTTATTGTTTTTGATCGATTCTTCTTGATTTCTTTATGCCTCATTTTATTACCTTTACTTGATGTAGATATGAGATATGGCAATATGGACCACTACGGAGTAATGTTTGACCCTATGTTGATTTTGCCTGTCTGTTGTCAAATAAGCGGTCTGCGAATACTCTTTCTCAACTCATAGTTAGGGAGGTCATTTGAAGCGCTTCATTGGGAAGCATGTCTCTAAAATATAATACACAACAATTAACAGGACTTTTGAGGGGGCTTTACTACGCCTGTCTTGTGTCTAACCTTTATCAAGGTCTGAGAATTGAAGGCAACCAACTTAAGCGACGCACTCGGTTTCAGAAGTTTTATCAGGCACTGAATGAAAAGACAGTTTTTTGGAAGCAACTGTCTGGTGAACCTAAACCATGCAGACAGACCAGAATTTCAGTCAACGATGAGCAGCCGAGTGAAACAGATACATATACAGTAAATTTGGAAATAATAACGGGAAGACAGCATAACTGATATGTAGAAAAAGATCACATAAAGGTGAATGGCAAGATTGAGCAGAAATTTCGTTAAACACGGAACTTTGTCTGATGCAAGAAGATTAGATACGTGATTTGTAGTTATTTTTGTTTATGTTGTATGTGGGTTGCGGTATTGTCTAGAAGCTCAAGCCAAAACAGGTGCTTGCATTGAGGGACCTCTTCCCGAGCCTTTAATATGTTTGATACACAAGGTGGTGGGACAATGTTAGGTGCTGTATTCTCATGACTGCCGGTGACCAATATAGGTTTCCCACTTTACTCTTCCATTCTGAGTAGTGTAGTCCATGTGCCCCAGTAGTTTGGAATTAGGGTTCTCCAACTGCCCCAGGTGTATTCTCCATGCACATCAATCCGTTTATAACATTGAACGTTCGCTTCCACCCTCTTATTCTTATAGAAATACTCTTTACCACGTGAGGACAGTGAATACGACTTTCCTATTTAATTCAATTCACAGAGAATACTTGCTGATTTATAGTTACCAACATCTGGATGAAAAACATAGAGCCAATTGGAGATTCATTGTTAGTGTCAAATCCGCTACTGCTTTAACAATTCTAATTAAGCTTGAAATGACTTTGTGCTGTGATAAGTCATGAAGAAATATAAACAGTACTACTTGATTTCATCGCACAGGGTTTAATGCCCTGGTCCAGATGAACCATCAAATTAATAGTATTAAAACAAATCAAATTGTAACCCCTAATAAAAATGTACATGAATAAGTAATCCTTACAATCAAATTGACATTATATTTAAGTAATGAATATTGATTTTGAATCAGTGGACATGGGTTCAATTCATCTGTATATGACAATGAAGGCATTTATGATTGATCCTTGTAGATTCTAAGCATAAAATGGACACATACCATCCACCTCTATTGTGGTTCATGATGAACACACTAAATAAGGATACTCCCACAAACAACTGAGAAATTAATCCTCAATAATACGGTATATTTTTTGAAGTAATATCATGCATGAGAAATTTTAAGAAAACTGATTGAAATTGACTTGCCCATTGGAAAAACAATAATATCGTGATAGTTTGGAGCTTCATCTTCTGTGACAGGCTTTTGGAAGGGACCAGCTAATACATGATTACGAATCGCACTTAAAACAGGACGTATCTTTTCTGCCAGTTTTTTAGCTTCTTGAATCCAAACAGGCTCTAGTGGAACTGATCTACATTTTATGTATACGTTCACAAAAACAATATCAAGAATAAATTCCAGTAAGTTATAATGATGAGTGAAACAATGTTTTTTAAAAGGACATCAATAACAGGAAACAGTATTACTATCCTACTTCAAACAGCAAGTTCAATATTTCTAAACTACTGAGTTTCAGTAATCAAATCTAATGACGAAATGACCTGGTCTGGAAAATATGACGTTAATCTCCGGTGGAATAAGACAATACGGCAGTTGGAAGACAACTATCAGCTGAGATATGAAACTTGAGGCAAATATTAAAAATCATTACAGTTCTTTGAAAAGAGAAGCTTTTCCAAGATGACTGAAAACTTCATTTTCGATAAAAACATGTCACAACACCAAGAACTGCATCACGCTTCGTTATTTTGTGCCGGTACCACTAAAGCTAATTGGCCTTAAAAACCTGAGAGTATTATTTATTATTTGTCCCTTGGGTTCCTAGTAGAACATACGGCTTCAGTAGCACCTCGCCATTTCACTCATCTCTCGGCAATCTTTACAACCTTGCTACACCGCTGTACACAAGCTCTCATTTCTTCCTCACATGATCTCCTCAATGTCACCCACTCCTCGCACCCCCAACTCGTCGTTTCACCTTTGGATTCTACTCGACAACCTGGCCTGGTCTGACACGTGGTGTCCCCAATCGGCATTCTCAGTGTATGCCCAATCCATCTCCATTTTCTTCTGCATATTTGTTGGGTGATAAGTTCTTAGTTGGTTCGTCGCCACTCAGCCAACCAGCCGGAGTTCCTTGTTACTTATTTTTTTCTGGCCATCTGATCTGATCTTCAGTATCGAGTGAGCAAACGTAGGCGGTAGCTGTTGAGGTGTGTCTGTAGTTTGTTGCAAATGCTTTTCGTAACGCGCCAAGTCTCTCAACCAGCATATAGAGGCACTGACTTGACTGACATTAGTGTTGGAAATCCGGATCTTGTTCACGCCTTATGCTGAGTGCAGTGCAGTGCAGTAGATCTCCACACTGATTTCAGGTCACTGAAGACCTGACTTGCTGTCTTTCTGATCCTGGATTTGACGTCCTCATCCGTGCCGCTGCCACCACCTGTAGTTGGAACGGTGCTATCCTTCCTAGGTAGGTGAAAGAGACAACTTCCCTTAGATTTCTCCCGTTGATGGTGATTCGTGCTTGTTGTTGTTGGTGTGGTGGTGTTGGGTGAGTATCTCATCATCTCTGTCTTCTCTATGTTCACTTGAAGAAAGTCCCGTCTTCCTTCGCTGCCTCACCTCGCCTCGCTTCTTCTGCCAACTAGTTACGTTTCGCCTGTACATCTTGCAGTTTGTGCAACGTTACACGTAATTCATCATCAGCGAAATCCAAATCTTATGGGGTCTTTTCATCGACCCAACCAGCATATGTCCCTCTTCTCGCTCCTCACGGTTTGTTGCATAATCCAGTCCACCAAAACCAGGAATATCATCGATGATGGTAGATGGCAACCTTGTCTTACTCCCCTCTTCACTTCAAAGGCATCACTGAGCTTTCCACTGTGAATTACTTGGCATGTAGCATTATACAACATATAGCTGTTGAATGAGGTTGATAGAGGTTTGTGGCACTAAAACTGTAGTGTTGAAGCAGCTGCCTGACAAATTACTTCTCGATCGAAGGCTTTTTCAAAGTCGACGGAGTTGAGTTGAGCTAAGCATCCAGTTGACTGCCATTCTATGCTCCGTTCTATGATGATGCGTAGAGTAAAGCGTTGTAATTTGGTCCGCACATGATTTGTTCTTCCTAAAGCCAACCAGCCAGCCAGCCTGTTCCGGTGGTAATTTTGAATCTAGAGGATGTTTTAGTCTCTCCAGGATGTTGTGGCATAATATTTTGCTTGTTTTGGGTAGACAGGAGCATGATTCCGTGCCAGTTGTTGGAAAGACTAAGGTCGTTTACTCTTCTTTGGGAGTTTGACGAGGTAACCTTTCTTCCAACCAATCGACAGTCAGCTTTCCTTCGAAAGCTTCTGCAATGGTGATGTGAACATGTCTGTTGTTGTCTCTGTGTCTGTTTTCAGTGCTTCTGGTGGAATTCTATCTGGCTGTGCTGCTTTCATGGATTTCAGGAACTCTATCGCGTTCAGGACTTCTGCTTTTGTCATTGGTAGTTCTGTGGCTAGGGTGCTGGTGGTAGTTCTGGGATGTTGCAGGTGGTGGTGGTGGTAGTGGTGGTCGATCCACCAGTTTTTTTGAGGCGGTCAGCTCATCGTTTTCTTTGTTTCTTCTTTTGGGTGGTAACTAAGTTCCCTTTACTATCTTTCATTGTTTTCATCTGCGTTGATCTCTTTCCTTCCAGATAGTAAACTGGTGATTTGATATAATGTTGTCAGGTCTCTCCTACCTGCAGGCTGTTTCGTAGAAATGTTTTTCGTCTTTCCATGCATTCTTCTTTACTTCTTTGTCCGGTGTAGTTTCATAGGTTGTACTCAGTTCTTTTCGTTGTTAACCCCTGCACTGCACTGGTTCATCTCCCACTTCACCATTTTCCTCTCCCTCCTCTATCAGTTTCCATGTGTCTGTCGAGATCTTCTTGCTTTCCAACACGGTTATGCAGGTTTCCTACCGCATTCCTCTCAAAGAGTTCTTGTGTTCATCCACACAGGTTCCCACAGGGATGTTACTAAATGCCTTCCATTGTTCCCGGATGGCTGACTGATGTGAAGGTGTTCTCTGTAGTTTCGCCCTTCAGTTCAGTTTATGTTCTGGGTGTTGAACTTAAACTATGGTCTATCATCACCAGCTTCTTTGAAGGCTTCCAACTTGATTTCGAAAGTAGGTTCCTTGCACAAGATAGTGAGTGGTGTGAACCCACATCTGCTGCTCTTCTTGATCGTATGTCAAGTAGGCTGAGTCTCCACTTTCTTGAGATTGAGATTAAGTCGATCTGATTCTAAGTGTGTCCATCTGGTGAAGTCAAATGCATGTCGCTGCCTTGTGAATATGCTTGTGTTTGGACGCATTGCCTCCAATCCCCAGGTCATTAAAGGCTCAGAAGTCTGCAAACAGTTCTCCATTCTCATTCATTTCACCGAGTACTTTTCGACCCATGGTTAATTCTCTTCCTGTGTTGTCCATTCCCAGTTTGGCATCCATGTCACCCATTAGAATGGATTTTGATGTCGCCAACTGGTCTGGGGTCTTGTCCATTAGTGGCTGCAGTTGTCGATAGAATTCCTCCTTCTTTTCTTGATCTGCATTATTTATAGATGCATAGCGTAGCATTGTGCGATTGCGACTTTCTTTCCTTTTGAATTGAACTTTGCTTACATGATCCTGCAGGAGGAGATTGGTTTCCACTGCATGAGAAAGCCTTCGATGCTGTTGGGGTCATCATGATAGCCACTCAAAAACTCAGTGTGCTTGTGATTGTCGTCTAGGTGACTGGAGTAGGATCATTGACTCTCCAGTTGACAGTTTGGAGAGTCCACTTCCATTTCATCTGATTTCGCAGACTACTAGCCTAGCACTTCAATGTGATACCTTCTCATCTCTTTTGCAGCCTGAGCAGCCTTGCTAGCTTCAAATATCGTTTGGACATTCCATGTTCCTATGCTTACTTTTGCTTTCATCGAGAAAGAGAAGACACATCGGCCAATTGGTTTCCCGAAAACTTTCACCAACCGGGGTCATTTCGTCTCCTCGATTCCAGTGAGGATTAAGTTTATTTTAATGTTATTTTTGTTCAATATTTTTTTGTGTCTTGAAGTTTCTTTAGCGACTGAATTGGTTTTACGGGATAGGGTTGCTAGTCCTATGCTCAACCTTTCGTCTTTATCCGGGCTTACGATAAGCTAGTAACTAGTGAACTAGCAATCCAGGCGAGGTTAAAAACCTGAGAAATACGTCCATGGAAATATTAGATCTATTCACAAGGCTTTGTTTACTTTTTCATCATTACCAGCGAAATGTTTTAACAATGCTTAAACTGTTTCAGGAATACGAGTGATGATAGAATTCGAAGTAACAGCTAATTTGCAAAGATGTCAGGAAATTGTCTTCATTCTGTTTCGGATATTTTTGGTAAATGCGTAGTTGAAGTGAAGGTGGAAAATTCAGATTTCCTAACCATATAGTATCATTGTCATTCTAAACAACATCATCAGCACAAACTTCAGAAAGAAGTGAGCTACATGGTTTTCCCCACAAGTGGTTTAGTAGCTTGTCCTGATGGTCTCGTGTGTGATCGGTTGTTTCTGCTAGGGTCTTGTGATTGTCTCCGTATTTGTTTCAATTCGTTGTCCTGCTGATGTGAAATTTGACTTTCTTTTTGCTTTTTATTGTTTGATAGATTGGGTCAGTGTCAATATGACTGCTGATCACTGACTGACCTGAATACCAAGCTTCTAAATGTCTCTGCTATTCTTTGCATTTTCTCTGTCCAGGAATTCCACACCTTCCTAATCAAATTGTTGTTCACAGTTGTCCACATGCACTGATATGAGCGATGTGTCATGACACTTTACTGCTAATTGATCATTATGTAGACGGATACGAAGAGGTCGACCACTCCATCCGATATAGAGTTTGTTGCAGTTTCTGTAGTTTAGTTTAGCTTTGTAGATAATGTTTGGTTTGTCATTTTTGCTAATGTATCTGCTCGCCTGCTTAATAGAAAGTGGAGAGGTCTTGTGGGCTTGTGAGCTAGTGATTTCAGGAGACTTCAGTATTCTAGTAGTGGTCTCGGGAACATTCGTCACTTAACGCAAGTCAATCCGTTTGTCGTATTTCGAGGATGACTTCTTGGTTGACGATGAGCTATACAAACATTTTTTGAAGTTGCTTGGATAGTCATTCTTCTGGAAAACAGTCATTAAACAGTTTTCTTCTCTTCTCCACATGGCTGATGTACTACAGTGTGTCTTTACTCTTTTGAAGAATGTTTTCATACAAGTGATTTTGTGTGCTTTTGGACTGCTGCTATTGTAGCGGGAGGTTTGATCCGTACGAGTTTCTAACTTTCCGAAACCTGTTGCCGTCATCAGAAAATCTAAAAATGCGGCTTTTTATTTATTGTAAATTTGATGTTATCGAGAATGTTATGGAATAATTTGTAGGCGTTTTCCTATTCATTTGTTTTGATGATGACAAACGTGTCATCTAAATATTGGATCCAAAGTTATGGTTTAATCAACGGCAATGCCACAGTTTCCAATCTTTGCATTAGTGCTTCTGTAATTAGTCCTGATGTAGGCGATCCCATCGGTGTTCTCTTTGTTCGCTGAATTGAGAATGTGTTGCAAGGCATAAATCAGTTAATTCCCCCAAACTTGAACATGGCAGCTGTGTATTCCGAGAGAGAACCCCAGCATACAGTCTTTTAACAGAACTTTTCAAAAGACTAAAACATATGACAGAATCAAGCGACCACTCTATCAACTCTTTGACATGATGTTTGGAAAAGATAAAGCATATTCATACTGATTACGACGAACTGATGGTGATTTTCAGCGTTACAGCCCTACACACTCCAAATGAACCGAAACTAGTTAAGGATATAGTGACTCTTATGTGTTCTGCTTTGTTTGATAACTGGCTGTGTGAGAAAAAATTAACCTTCTTTAACAGCAACAAACTACGGTAGCTGTGGTAACTTGTTCGAAGCCTATTAAAAGAGCTTAGGACTTATACCTAAACTGGTTGAATAACTGACTGAAAAACGTAAGAAAAAAAAGATTTGAGTACTTAATCACTCTTAAACTAGAAACAATTCGGAACCAATGCAACCAAATCTTTCGCATCACCTTGTTTAAAAATGACTTCAATTGATAGATGACCAAAGCAAATATGACCTGACAATACGATTCATATTGAAGATGTTAAATGACTTTTCAAACTTGGACAGCAACATACAGTAGACAGGAAGCCTTGGTAGATTTCAAAAGGGTTCATCTACAATGTCAAGTTGATAAGTAACACGATTCGCTTGAATTTTCTTGAGGTTGTAGATGTGCCTTGTTCATGAGTAACAAAAAGTATGAGATTTAGGACCACAGTTAATCACCTTGTGTATTCGTCCCAATCACTTGTGAAACAGCTTACTTCTTCAGTGGAGACATTTAATTATTTTCTAAAGAAGTTTATCATGAGATAACGGTATCCAGCAAATTTTAGTGACAGATTAAATCGTCTAGCAATGCAGGAGGAAGAGAAAGAATTTCACAAAAATATTTTATCACGTGAAGTCAAAAAGAAGCTTATTTCTGGAGAAGGCCAACCAAAATTCTCATAAGAATGAACATATTAAGGGGGTTAATAAGACATTTGGCGGGAAAAAAACTACTATGTACAAATCAAGTAATACATACATTTATTTCGGTCTTACGAACTAAACCAGCGCATGAGATTTTACAGAACAGAATTCATACAAAAAACAAAACAAAAGGAACTTACACTTTCGAAAGGCTATTATGACGCCTTGATCTGGAGCTAATCCTTGAATTGGTTTGTAACTTACGATTTGATTTATGAGGAATTAACGAAGGTTGTGGCAAACGTTTGCGCAGTTTCCTCGGAGGTTCTTGTATTTCTTCAAACCCTTTATCAGAGGAATCCGACGGTTGATGTTTTATCGAATCACTATTGACTACCAAATTTTCTGACGACTCTAATTTATCAGTTTCATGAAACAAATCAGGGAACTGGTTTGAAGTGTAACCTATTTCAGCTAGGCCGGGAATTTGTTCTGGTTTCAATGGTCCATTACGAAATAATTTAGCAGGTATTCCTGGATAAGGTTGGTTTAGTGATTCACGGCGTCGTTCTATTAATCGACTAATAACCTATTGAAAATACAAAATAGTTGATGAGACATTATTATTGACTAAATATGGTTGGTATGGTACTTCAGTGTAGAATTGTATTCTTACACGCTAAAGCCAATCAAGAAATGTCCAAAGGATACTCAAGTTTCTAGTGTTCGTAAGAAGATGTATGGTTGACGAGCCTTACAAAATACCAACCTATGAAACTAAGCAGCCCCTGATAACAAAACTGATCGACAAACTTAAAATTAGAACGATTGACTTTGAATTCTAACATCCTTACAAACAGCTTGTGTCAACTGAAGCCGAAAAAACTCCTCACGTGTTACGATAGTAGTGAAATGTAAATGTTGATCGCAGGACGTTTTTTTTATTTCTCAGAATATTGTACATGTATCTAACGTAAGTTATTCCGTAAATCAAGAAGTCAAGCTACCGAAAGATGAAGTCATACTTGGAGCATACTACTGACCCAGATGCAGTTCGCCTATGGTTGGTTGTGGTAGTAGTTCTCTTAAAGTGGTTGAAATGAAAAAATGAAATGCACATTTGCACAGTAGGTAATGAGCCACACCTATTTTATGAGAGCTAATGACACTATCTGATAGCCCAGACCTCGGTAGATGGAGCACGCTTAGAACTCTTGACCCATCAGTTGGATGTCAGGTGGCTAGAACAATGCGCCAGTCCTCATTAAAATGAGTAAAACTATATAACTGCTTCTATTAAACATCAAATTCAGCTAGACACATAGCAAAAGCTGTCTCATAAGGATTATTACCTAAATTTTGGATGTTAAGGTGATTTGAAATTGTATAAAACTTGGACAATTTAGGATTTAAGTGTTAAAAATCCTACTTATATAAAAATAAGATGGTTCTCTCATCTCTTAGAAGTTTGAAAACATTCCAGTCTATGATTACTGTGGAGAGCAAAAAGGACCATCTGTAAGAGAATATTTAAATCCTGCTTTTCAATCGTCAAGAATGTACAAACAAGTTTAGAAATCTACAATTCCACCTGAAAAGATTATCATGATATTCGAATATGAATCGATCTATTTTTATATCTTAAATGTTGCCGCTGATCATGCCTTGCCTTTCATTGAGTAAAGTATACACCTATGAAAGGCTGAAGAAAATACATCCATTGATGCATTTCCTTAATGATGTATGCCACTGTATAGTTCTTTAAATGAAAGAACCTTGGGATCGATAAACTAAGATGCAAGTCAACCGACAATAAGATTTTTTTAAAACGTCAGTAAACATACATGAGTGACATTTTGAAATCTTATTCATGACAGTGATAATAAAAGGAGACGGAAAGAAATTGCCTTCGGCGTTAACACTGAATAATGGAGACTAAAGTTACACGCTAGATAGTCTGAAAAACACAATCTTGTACAGGTGTGCGTGTGTGTGCAAAGATGAAGATATGAAATTACCACTGAAGTATTGCCATCTTTTCATGCCTCAGTCTTTTGTTCACATTTAATATTTTTCATTTCAACATAGAGGAAGCAGCGTCAAAGTATACGATGCTAATGACACTTAGGAAAACTTGTCTACCTCCATTACAGTATGTGACTTGGGACTGTAGGACCAACAAGTTACTCTTCATGAGTGTTCACTTTTGGAGAATCGTTAATCAAGATAATGGAGATATTCAGTTCTGGATTTTTGGTATTCATTTATAGCTAATATAAAGCGATGATGAAATAGTTTTTATGAACTTAACTAACACGAAAAAGAGGAAAGGTATGAGATACGAAGTGAGAAAAAAAAATACAACGTACCTCTTTCTGTTTTGCAATTAATTCGGAAAATCTGGTATATATGATGTTGGGGTACAATTCACAACCCATCAATGTGGCCCCTTCATATTCTTTAATATGTCCTACGTAAGCTTGTCGAGTTAAGCGTATTTCACGTGAAAATCCCTGTTTTCTAAAATATCCAGTAGCAAATGAATCAGCATACGTCAGAAAATGAAATATTTTATGCCGTACATGATAGTCTTTCAGATGATTCATCATTTGTGTCCCATAACCCTATACATAAGTGGAAAGATGAAGTTAAACAAAAGAATCAGATAAAAATACACAACTCACTTCCGAAAAATAATCTATAAGGCGCGACAAGATTCCATATTAATGTATATTAATACAACCAAAACTGTCAACTAACAATCAAATGAAGTTTACTAGTTATGCATAGATTCGCATGCTAGACTCTGATGCTGTAAACTAACCGTAAGATAACGAATCAGTGCCACTATTTAACTGTCAAGACTATGATAGACAAATTCGGCGGCCTGTTTGAAACCTGGGTTACCGAAATTTTGTGTGACTTTAAGGCCACCCTAGCAACTGACGAAATAGCCAATCAGTTTTCCGGTTGTGTGGATAATTATTTTTAAAATGAAGAGACATGATTGGTTATCTCAGCAGTTGCTAGGGTGGCTTTTAAAGTCACCCGAAATATTTTACCAAATATATATATATATATATATATATATATATATATATATATATATATATATATATATATAATTCTTTCCTTTCAATGTTTTAATCATTTAAATATGTCCCCTGAACGTACCATAAACTGTACATTTTTGTAATGTTTTCACCTCACCTTTTTACCGAGTTAATAAGAAAACAGCGAAAAAGTGTCACGTTATATAGAAGTGGACTTTTCAGTGGACAAAAGTACACCATATTTTTATCCCTGGGATATTTAACTTGGATTTCAAATTCCTGTACTGATTAAATGAACAGCCATCACCAAACTTACGCTCGCTTTCTTGTGGATTCTTTATTCCACACCTGACGCTAATTAACAACCAGCTTCCTGTTTCACATTATTGTCTTGAATACGGTTATTATTAACATCATTCAGATGCAATAATCATTTCGTCTGAATATACTATTCTAGGAGTGAGTTTATTGAAAAATTACATGCTGAGAATTCCATACTGTATCATACATATTATTTGGAATAAAGAGATTATTTTTATTATGTAGGAATTCAAACTAATAACCCAAAGCAATAACAGAATACAAGATAAAACTTTATAGTGAGGAGTTTGTGTACATAGCTAAACGTCTAAGAAAGAAAAATGGCTTACGTAGGCAAAATGAGAAAACCTTAGATTTATAGCGACATTTAGTAACTGTATGTGCAATAATAGATATAAAAATATAATGCAGCTTAGCTACTTGATCTACGCTAATATACAAGGCTGCGAACCTTAATTAGAGTATCTGTGTGCACACCCGGTTGTCCGGTCAGAAGTAGATGGTATAGGATTTAAATCCAGAACCCACTACGCTTTAAAGTCGAGTGCTTATAAATACAAAATAATATCAAATCTAGTTGTTATCTCTTGTACATAAATCTATTTGTTAGGCCATAGTTATCTTCTAACAGTGTCATTAATTTTTAAGGGAAAAAAACTTTTTTCAACCGTTACCCTTAAATAAACAAATTCACTTTTACAATAATCCGTAGGCTGATATACTAGATCGCCTTGGATGGACACACACTTTCAAAATCAAGCACAATTGTCGTTTACATGAATTTTCATAGTAAATAAATAACTTGAACCAACAATTAATATTAATGTAAAACTTGGGCACTGTGGTAGAATGCCATTCCACATTAGATTTGTTTATTTGATTTATAACACAGAGTGATACAGTATTATTTTACTTGATGACGTTTTGGGCACAAATTATTGCTCACAACCATACCAGTGTAACCATACCACTTTCAACAATCGGTTTTTATAGTCCTGTCACCTCATACGATTTGTTTTTATTGATAGTAAAATTTTCCATATCTCCGGTATAGGTGTTGCATCATTCCTATTACATGTGTTGGGTGTTGATTCTACTGTTTATTAAGAAATTCATAGAAGAACATAAGAAAATAAGATAATGACAGCAATGCGAGTATGAATAATGACGATGACACTAGCAAAAAGGAGTTCAAAGCCTCCACTATGTTACCCTATAAGGAAGGAACATCAGAAACTTTACGTAGGACTCTCAACAAAGCTGGAACTAGCGTAGCGTTTAAAACTACAAACTCACTCACAGATAAACTTTGTCGACTTAAGGATCCGACAGAACCAATTGAGCAAATTAATCTAATCTATCGAATTCCATGCACTGACTATGAGGTCAGACCAGCCGATCATGGTCAGTTAGATTAGCGCAACATGGGGACTTAGCTAAATATAGAAGGACAGACCCGAATAAGATCAATAATACAATGCATACATGAACACAATCAAACAATAGGGTGAGGATAAAACCACCGTACTTAAGTTTAACATAATTAAGTGGAGATTGATTACTAAATTTCTGTTCGTCGAATAAAAATCCAACACACGTGATAGGAATGACGCAACACCTATATCGGAGATATGGAAAATTTTACTATCAATAAAAACAAAAAAATGAGATGACAGGACTTTAAAAACCCACTGTTGAAAGTGGTGTGATTACATTGATATGATTGTGAGCAACAATTTATGCTCGGAACGTCATCAAGTAAATAATATGGTATCACTATGCGCTTCATATCAAATAAACAAATCTGATACGGAATTAAACAGACAACCTCAACAATGAATAACAGTGAACAACAATGGAGATACTCGAATTATCTTAAAGGACAATTTAATGTGCAGTGATGAAAAGTGACACTGTGACATTATCACTCAAAACCCCTTTTCATCATATTCAATTTCACTATTATTTTACCCCCTTCTGTGTGGAGCTGTGGCTCACTGGTTTAGGTATTTGACTTTCAACAAGTAGGTCACGAACTTGAATATCATTCCTCCTGCAGAGGTTTGACCAGCCAGGTAGTATCATTAGCACTCACATAACAGGTGTCGCTGGTTGCCTACTGTACAAAGGTGAATGTGGTTAAGTGTAATTCTATTCGATTCACCCTCGTCCCATCTTCTTTTCTTCGTATGAGTTTCTATTACTTTCGATTACTTTCTTCTTTGTTTCTCTATCTTTCATCAATGCACCTATTACCCTATTGTGCTGGTGTGTGGTGTGGCAACTTGGATCGTTAAGCAGTAATGCCACGATCCCATGTTGATTGACTAACGGATTTACATTTTTTCTGAAAGGCAACTTAATGTACATTAATAAAAACTAACATATACACTATAATTGAAAACCCTAGCTAGATTTATCTATGGAGAAAACCCATCCAGAGAATAGTTAAACCCAGTCAACATGTACAGACGAAATTCGCACAGTTCACTTATATGAAAAAGGTGAACATAATCTAAGGGATGAAATCAGATAAAGATAAATTACAGATTTTTAATTGTTAATAAAAATCAGAGTAGTATAAGCAAGACGAAATTTACACAGCTCGAATAAACATATGTACTTAAATAACTGCTAACTTGTTCATGCAGTAGAAAGTGCTGAAGTTGCTGATAAATCCACTCTGGGAATGCTTCTTCGGGCTCTTTTTCCTGCACGTGGGTCACATTTCATATAACGTAATAGCGTTCTGATTGGCTTCTACTCCTTTAAATGTATTAATTATTCCTTATCTTTCAATGTTACTGTAAACTCTATAAATAGGGTCCATTTTTACTCATAAACGTTTTCAGTTCGAGGTACTATTAACTCAGTTGATTACCAGTCTTTTCATTTCCCTTTGCAAATCACTAGGGATGAACTGTATAAATCCTAAACTATCAATCATTAATTATTATTGTCCGTTTTCATAACTCCATACCATAATAAATTTGATGAAAAGTTAGCACTTGGAAACAACTATCCTTTTAAAAATAAGGACCTTTTAAAAACTATATTTGACAATTGAACAGTATAGATAGGAGTTCTCTAAGCAGAACAAACGTGTAACTGAGCTATTAATAAGGGGGTAAAATAACAGAACATCGTCAAAATGTATAACAAAACTAAAAATACTCCAGTTACAGGTGCATTAATTGCAGCAAACATATCAGCCCTGACAGAATCATAACAGTTCAGATGTGGATCCAGCTAGAAATATCTTTTTTGGAGAGATCAACTTCATTTTCAATTACTAATACCCTTAGGATTACTATCTATTGATATACTTGTAATTCTGCGTTGTTTCATTGGATGGAATTGTTCGACCTCTAGCTGACTAGTCCCAAACAAGACTAGACGCGCGTCCTGGATTCCTCTGCTAGCCACAACCAACCAAATTACCATAATTGACATTCAGGCAATATCAAGGCATCCGCATAGGAGCCTATATGCCAATAGAGGTCGAACAATTCGATCCAATAAAACAGTGGAGAATTACGAGTATAGCAATAAGTAGTAATAACTACTACCCGTTGTACACGAAGCGGCTGTCGTTCCTCCATGGCATAGTGGATAACGTCTTAGTGTTTGAAGCGACAGGTACTAGTCTCGGTGGGAACAACATCACTCACTGTGGTGCAGGTACATCCAGCTGACGAGTCCCTAATGGGAAGAAACGCGTGTCCTGGATTCCTCTGCTAGCCACAACCAACTAAATTACCCTTAGCATTGTTGTAGAAGTATTTTCGAGATTTGAGTTAACAGTTACTACATACGTACGGTCAATATTGTCAGAAGCTAGTGATCATCGATTCCTTAGAAAATAGCTCAGATTTGACAAAACTTCTGAATGAGCGTTAATGAAGTGATGTACAATGTTACGGAAAATGTGCAATAGCCAGTGGCTGCATGAACTTTCAGTGACTAAGATAATTACGGTATATGTGAATCGTACCGAAACATCTGCTTGACATGGTGAATAAGATGAAAAAAGTTTACGATAGTCTAAGTGAAATACGACACCAATCCAGTAAGTTTCGGAAAGTCTGTTTTAGTCATATAAGGGAAGTGTGGGTATCTTGAAAGTGATTCACAAGACAAAGAAAACTGGGAGCTGAAGACTTAGTGATATGTTTCACCACTCAACAGGATTGGCATACACACATCTACTTTTTATATTTCCGCTAGTAAAGACATTATTGGGATTTTAATTTATTTCCCGGCTTGACTTCCTTTAATTTATCTTATCTGCAGTTGTTTATTGGTCGTTCTTGCAGATTGTTTTTACTTCAAGTTTCTACCTTTAGGCTCAGTAGGAACTAAAGCAAATGCGCTACTGTATCAAGTTTTTTGCTGTTTTCTTTTCTGTATGAATTGACGGATAAGTGATAAAGATTTGTGATGTAGCATGTATTAGTAATAAAAGAAATTGTACCAAACAATGAGTTTATACACGACCTTTTGATCATGTGTTCTTTATAATGATATCTATAAACAGGCCTATCTTATAGAAGGAATATCGTAAGGGTTTTTCTCACTGAAAACAGACTAATCCATCATTAAAATACACCGAATTGCGTCATAGTCCAAACGAGTCCAGATTGAGAAAAGAAAGATTTTACAATTATTTTCAAATCCAGCACAAGCGATTCTTCATTCGAGGAGAGAAATGAGCTACGTAAAAACCAAGTATCTGACTAAACTGAAATAAATGATCAACATTTAAAAAAAACACTCGATTTCAGGACAATGTGCAAGACAGTATCGGTATCTGTTTTCAAGCAGCATATTTTGCATGACTTCAGGGTTCCTAAACTGTTCCACTGTTTGCATTTCTCTGCATACAGACATACGATGCTGCCTAGGTAGGTACATGAAATAGACTACTTCCTTTAGGTTGCTCCTGTTAATGGTGATTGGTGCTTGTTGTTGATGCTGTTGTTGGTTGGGTATCTTCATCACCTCTGTCTTCTCTACGTTCATTTGAAGTTCCATCTTTGCTGTCCTGTCTCTTCTGTCAACTTGTTGATTTTCGTTTATAGATCTTAGAGTTTGTGTGACATTAAACACAAGTCATCGGCGAAATCCAAATCTCCTATGGTCTTTCAATGGGTCCAGCAAATGCCCGTCTTCTCGCTTCTCGCTAGCCTGATATAGAACAAAAATCCAGCAGATTATTGTTATTTTTTCTATAGATACGATTCAGTGAAGTACCATCTGGAATGATAAGACCAAATGAAGCATCGTCTTCAAATACCATTTGGTAAGCGATATCCACATTTAAATATTGTTGCCATCATCGGTGTAAAATAATGGAAACATGTAACTGCTAAAATGAAAACACGATTTTAAAAAATTAAAGGACACTGTTTGAAGCTAACAAAAAACAAGGGTCATAGCAGAATTCGGACCATACGCCTCTGTATCACTGGACTATCAACCTTTCGACAAACCTACAAAGTCAGATTGCGATGGAATTTAATCACCATCCTTGACGATCATTATGGAAACCAAGACCGCCTTGGATGATCGGATTCAAAGTAATTCAATGAATACAAGCGTAGAAACACTTTATTAGTAGGGTATGTCGTCAGTGTTACTTCATTTTATAAATCTAAGTAAGATTGGGTAAATCAACTTACTTTAACCTGTTCATTGAAAATAACCGCACAAAATACTATTTCTGTGAATCCCTGCGACGGGAACATACGAAAGCATATTCCACCAATAGCATGTTTTTCACACGAATCAGAAACTTTTAGCAAAATTAGATTTTTGTGTTTTCTGCATAAAATGAGAAATAAATACAATAAAATAAATAAAATAAAAACTCTTGAGAAAAACGATAAACGTGCATAAAACTAGGAATTTAAATATCTTGTGTCAGATATTATAACCGCTTTTTTGTTATCTACTACAGCATGAAAGACTGGCAAAGTACATCTCACTAGATATGTAACCAGCTCCTCATAGTTTAATTTCCTTATAAGTTCTTTCAGTAACATATGAATACCAGTCGACGCCAAATAAACGGTGAGGCACTTTTACTAGCCAGCTCACTGCAGCTATAGCCAAAGAAAATCTTCGTTGGGTCGGAAAATTTGACTTAAACGCAGCAATTCAAAACTAAAATACCGCCAACTTGAACACAAAACTACATATTAAAACGTCTTTTCATCGGTCACAGATAACCAACCAAATACAAAAACTGATAACAACCAACAGAGTAAGATGAAGACAAGTGAGCAGAAAAATAGAGCACGTAAATCGACAGAAATCACAACAGTTTACTTTAGCCCAAAACTACAACTCAAAATTAGAACGAAGTAAAACCAAAAATTAGTTGACTACTAGACAAACATGCCAGTATTTCTAGACTTCAATCGTTTTAAAACATAGTAGACATTCAAAAAGGAGCTAAAGCATCATAGTATGCGATAAGATTATCGAATCTTCATAAGAAGCAATAAACCTCTGAAGCATTCTATAACCAATAGTGTTGCACTATTCTTTCGAGAGAAAATGCACACAAAGAAACCAGTAAATATCAGATAAGTTGAACGGACGAAAATCAATAGGAACTTCAAATTTAGAAAGACATGGAAATTTCCTTTTCCTTTTGCTTCCCGGTGGAACATAGGACTTCAGTAGCACCTCGCCATTTCACTCATCTCTGCACTCTTTTCAACCTGGCTACACCGCTGCCCACAAGCTTTCATTTCTTCCTCACACCATCTCCTCCATGCCACCCTCGCCTTGGACGCCCAAATCGCCGTTTCCCATCTGGGTTCCACTCGAGGGCCTGGCGCGTGATGTCCCCAGTCGGCATTCTCAGTGTATGCCCAATCCATCTCCATTTCCTTCTGCATATTTGTTGGGTGATAGGTTCTTGGTTGGTTCATTGTCAGGTCAGAGTTCCTTGTTGCTTATTCTTTCTGGCCATTTGAGCTTCAGCATCGAGCGTAGACAGTTGTTGATGAATATCTGTAGTTTGTTGGAAATGCTTTTCGTGACACGCCAAGTCTCTCAGTCACCATGACTTGACATTGGTGTTGAAAATCCGGATCTTGTTCACGCTTTATGCTGAGTACAGTGCAGTAGATCTGCACATTAATTTCAGGCTAATGAAGACCTATCTTGCTGTCCTTCCGATCCTGGCTAGCTTTGACGTCCTTATCTGTACCGCCGCCACCGCCTGTAATTGAAACGATGCTGCCTAGGTAGGTACATGAAATAGACTACTTCCTTTAGGTTGCTCCTGTTAATGGTGATTGGTGCTTGTTGTTGATGCTGTTGTTGGTTGGGTATCTTCATCACCTCTGTCTTCTCTACGTTCATTTGAAGTTCCATCTTTGCTGTCCTGTCTCTTCTGTCAACTTGTTGATTTTCGTTTATAGATCTTAGAGTTTGTGTGACATTAAACACAAGTCATCGGCGAAATCCAAATCTCCTATGGTCTTTCAATGGGTCTAGCATATGCCCATCTTTTTGCTTCGCTGTATTTTGTATGTTTCTGCTATTGCAGTAGACCAGTTGTATTACCTCCTTTTCCATTTATCAAGTAACTGAGTGACCATTAATGGGGTGAAATTTGAAAGTTATTGTTCAAGCGTCCGTAAACGTATATATATATGAAATCACCTGCAAAGGAATTGGAAATCGGAACAGGTATTTCAACCACCTCAAAATATTTGAGGAAATGCGAGCTTGACAACCGAAGTCACGGAAAAACTAACGATCGATGCATACCAGTGTCCGTGAAAATGCAAATATGAGATCTCCTCAGGTTCCTCTCAGATAAGACCTACTTTCTACCCGAGACGCGGAGCCAATCACGGGGATGTTCGAGTCTATGAAAATGCAGTAGTGAAGTGAGCAAAATAACACTTAAGTGGTGTTAAAATTACCGGAAATAGCGTGATGTAAACATTTTAACAAGCAAAATATAGGTCAGTAATTAGGAAAATGAAAGTTGCTTAGTACCTATAGATAAAGTAAGTGAATAATCAAAATGCAAGTAAATATGATAGGTATGTATGAAAAGGGTCCGGAAAGAAGTGTAAAAGTACTGATAGGTAGGGTAGTTTGTCAAGCTTCCTCTGGTCAAAGCAGAAATGAAAAGCGAATAAACTTCTTATGAAAACAAAGACCAGAGATATTTCCTCTAATTCTCATACCTTCAGCTGTGTACAAAAGACGAATACAAACCTCATTCAAAAATTGCGACGGAATGCGATAAATGATTTCAAACGCTTTTAACTTGTCTATTGCCCGCTTAACTAATTCGCTAGTTAGTAGCCGGTCCTAAGCCCGGATAAAGAAGGAAGGTTGGGCATAGGGCTAGCGACCCTACCCCGGGAAATCAATTCAATCGCTAAAGAAACTTCAAAGCACAGACAAAATATAAAAATAAACTTATTCCTCTCTAGAATCGAGGAGACGAAATGACGCCGGTTGGTGACAACCTTCGAGAAGCAAACTGGCCGATGTATCTCCTCTTTTTCAGTGAAAGCAAAAGTAAACGTGGGGACATGGAATGTCCGCACAATGTTTGAACATAGCAAGACTGCCTAGATCGCAGAGCTGAGAAGGTATAGCATAGAAGTGCTAGGAATCTGCAAGGAACCTGCAGATGGAATGGAAGTGGACTCTCCAAACTGTCAACTGTAGAGTCAATAATCCTACTCCAGTAACCTAGACGACAATCACAAGCACACTGAGTTTTTGAGTGGCTATCATGATATACCCAACAGCATCGAAGGCTTTCTCATGCAGTGGAAACCAATCTCCTCCTGCAGGATCATGTAAGCAAAGTTCAATTCAAAAGGAAAGAAAGTCGCAATCGCACAATGCTACGCTATGCGTCTACAAATAATGCAGATCAAGAGAAGAAGGAGGAATTCTATCGACAACTGCAGCCACTAATGGACAAGACCCCAGACCAGTTGGCGACATCAAAATCCATTCTAATGGGTGACATGGATGCCAAACTGGGAATGGACAACACAGGAAGAGAATTAACCATGGGTCGAAAAGTACTCGGTGAAATGAATGAGAATGGAGAACTGTTTGCAGACTTCTGAGCCTTTAATGACCTGGGGATTGGAGGCAATGCGTCCAAACACAAGCATGTTCACAAGGCAGCGACATGCATTAGATTTCACCAGATGGACACACTTAGAATCAGATCGACTTAATCTCAATCTCAAGAAAGTGGAGACTCAGCCTACTTGACATACGATCAAGAAGAGCAGCAGATGTGGGTTCACACCACTCACTATCTTGTGCAAGGAACCTACTTTCGAAATCAAGTTGGAAGCCTTCAAAGAAGCCATCCGGGAACAATGGAAGGCATTTAGTAACATCCCTGTGGGAACCTGTGTGGAAGAACACTTGAACTCTTTGAAGGAGATGTGCAAAGAAACCCACATAACAGTATTGGAGAGGGAGAAGAAGAAGCAAGACAAGGAATGGATCTCGACGGACACATGGAAGCTGATAGAAGAAAGGAAGATGTTGAAACAGAAGACGAACTAGTGCAGTGCAGAAATGAACAACGAAAAAAGGGACTGAACACAACGTTTCAAACAATGGACAAAGAATTGAAAAGAGTGCGCGGAAAGACAAAACACACTTCTACGACACACTGGCAAGTGAAGTAGAACAGGCTGTAGGTAGGAGAGACCTGACAACATTGGACCAAATAACCAGGTTACAATCTGGTAGGGAAGAGATCAACACATGAAACCAATAAGAGATGATGACAGAAATTTAATTACCAAAAAAGAGAAACAAAGGAAACAATGGGCTGACTACTTCAAAAAACTCTTGAATCCACCACCATCTGAAACTCGTCCAGAAATACAATCTGCAGCCACAAAACTTCAAGTGAACACAAAACCTCCGACGAAAGTCGAAGTCATGAACGTCATAAAGCTACTGAAATGTGGGAAAGCAGCAGGATCAGATGGAATCCCGCCAGAAGCACTGAGAGCAGACGCAGAGACAACAGCGGACATGCTCACATCACTACTGCAGAAGGTTTGGAAGGAAGGAAAGGTGCCTGGCGATTGAAAGAAGGGCTACCTTGTTAAACTCCCGAAGAAGGGAGACCTAAGCCTTTGCGAACACAATAGCTGGCGTGGAATCATGCTCCTGTCAACCCCAAGCAAAATATTAAGCCACATCATCCTGGAGAGACTAGAGGATGCAATGGATTCAAAACTGCGACCAGAGCAGGCTGGATTCAGGAAGTACAAATCATGTGGGACCAAAATGCAACGCTACGCATCATTATTGAACAGAGCATAGAATGGCAGTCAACTGAATTTTACTTCAACTCAACTTCATCGACTTTGAAAAGGCCTTCGACAGCATCGGCCGGGATGTAATTTGGCAACTACTTCAACACTACGGTTTTAGTGCCACAAACCTTTATCAACCTCATTCAACAACTATATGAAGACGCCAATGCCAAGTAATTCACAATGGGAAGCTCAATGATGCCTTTCAAGTGAAGACAGGAGTAAGACAAAGCTGTCTACTATCACCGATGATCTTCCTGATTGTAGTCGACTGGATCATGCATCAGACAGTGTGGAGCGAGAAGAGGGGGAAATGCTGGACCCATTGAAAGACCATAGGAGATTTGGATTTCGCCGATGACTTGTGTTTAATGTCACACAAACTCTAAGATCTATAAACGAAAATCAACAAGTTGACAGAAGAGACAGGACAGCAAAGATGGAACTTCAAATGAACGTAGAGAAGACAGAGGTGATGAAGATACCCAACCAACAACAGCATCAACAACAAGCACCAATCACCATTAACAGGAGCAACCTAAAGGAAGTAGTCTATTTCATGTACCTACCTAGGCAGCATCGTTTCAATTACAGGCGGTGGCGGCGGTACAGATAAGGACGTCAAAGCTAGCCAGGATCGGAAGGACAGCAAGATAGGTCTTCATTAGCCTGAAATTAATGTGCAGATCTACTGCACTGTACTCAGCATAAAGCGTGAACAAGATCCGGATTTTCAACACCAATGTCAAGTCATGGTGACTGAGAGACTTGGCGTGTCACGAAAAGCATTTCCAACAAACTACAGATATTCATCAACAACTGTCTACGCTCGATGCTGAAGCTCAAATGGCCAGAAAGAATAAGCAACAAGGAACTCTGACCTGACAATGAACCAACCAAGAACCTATCACCCAACAAATATGCAGAAGGAAATGGAGATGGATTGGGCATACACTGAGAATGCCGACTGGGGACATCACGCGCCAGGCCCTCGAGTGGAACCCAGATGGGAAACGGCGATTTGGGCGTCCAAGGCGAGGGTGGCATGGAGGAGATGGTGTGAGGAAGAAATGAAAGCTTGTGGGCAGCGGTGTAGCCAGGTTGAAAAGAGTGCAGAGATGAGTGAAATGGCGAGGTGCTACTGAAGTCCTATGTTCCACTGGGAACCCAAGGGAAAAATAATAGTAGTAATAATTGCATGATCGCTATCGACTAAAAGCCCGAAAACTTAATTTCATATTGTGTTTACTTGTCTCTTGAATAGCCTTGAAGGTAGAGACTCAACAGGAAGTTCGGAAGGCGCCTAGTAGAACTGGCAAACATATAATATTGGTGAAAGTGGGTACCTTGTCTCTGGTTTAATCACTTACGATGGACCGACTATAAAATAAGCAAAGGTTAGCAGCCTGGAAACCTTACCTGATGGTTGTGTACAGCAGTTAGTATAGAAATTAAACGGATGTTTTTTTTATTGAATCGGAGCTTCATGCAGCGAAATTTTCTTTGAACAGTAATTTGTTCAGATTTCTCGCTCATTTTGTCCGCGTATCACCCCATAAAACTAAAAGGGTAACCCATTTACAACAGCGTATTATGAACATATCCCGGATCCTTTCAAAGAAAATCAATGGGGGAGATTCTTCTTTTTTTATGTGAAAAACATGCATCTAAGGTTCCATTTTACTGAATGGGTAAAAGGGTAAGAAAATGAATGTACTGATTGGCAGATGTGATCCTGAAATATAGTTTCGAAAGTTCTGGGATTAGAAGACGGTTTACTTTTATTGTAATGTATTTTGCTTCATGAAAACTCGACAGGATTATCCTGTTACATAATTTATGTTATGATATAGATCCTTGGTTTTGCTGTGAACCGTTAGTCAAGTGAACGATACGGTATTTCTGTAGGTTAAACAATGCGACATTGAGAATAATGGTAGCTTGTTGGCCTAAAAGCTAGACCTTAAAGCAATGGATCTAGAATTCGAAGTTCGCTTGATCTACTTAGATCTGGGCGCAAATAAATTCCTCACTCATTAGCTATGTTTTATTCCAATGGTGGAGGTTTGACTTATTGATTCAAATCTTTAACTTTAAACTACTAGTTTAAGGGCTTGAGCTCAACTCAACCTTCTTTAAGCTGGGCAACTAGATGTGATTCAGTTTAGTATACAAATCTGTAGAACGTTACTGGGTTCCAAAAAACATCATCCTCATAAGTACTGAACTGTGTAACAACAGTTGTTTTAAACTTGTGGACACGTAGCACAATAACACTCGATATTTCTAGTCATAATTCTAATGTCATAATACACGTTAGAAAATAATTTCTGAGTGGTTAAGAAAATAAGTAGAAGAGAACGATCATAGATATTCAGAATCATGCTGAACGGCATAATAAATGAAAGAATAAACACAAGTATTGTGACTGTAAAAAGTTATAAATCACGCCTATCATGAAAACCATAACTGTATTGTACTGGAAGCACTAAAGTAGAACGGTGTTTGTTAGGAAAAAGTTACATAGAATACGATAAACAGGACTATTTTAGTAAATCTTGTACATGAACTTACGGATCAAATATAAGGCGTGCAATATATTCTTTCGGCATACGAGGTAACTGTAGGGCGAATACATTCAACAATTCCAAAAGCCATATATATGTTTGTGGAGGTTGATTAGGATTTAAACTATTGTTAACAATATGAAATTCAATATTTCCAGCAGATTCTTCTTGACGAGCAGCAGCATCTCTAGTTGCATTTAATGAATGTAGCTAGTATGAAGGGTTGATAAAGGACAATGCTTTACGGAGTAGCAACGAAAAATGACTTTAATTAAATTTTCATATTACACAAGGAAAGGGAGATTGTGGATGCGCTACTGAGATTTTATTGATAAGATTAAGAAACTGGAATGGAAGGTTGTAATTACTCACAAAAGTTGCCATTTTATGGATTTCCTATCTACTTTTTCGTCAAATGATAAGGCCGAAGCTGGTAATCAGAATAGCTGAATAGCTACTCAACTAACTAGCTAACCGACAGTGAGCTGATGAAGTTAAAGATGAACATAATTGAGTATATCATCTAATAATGACACCTAAACTACTTGTATTACATGTTCAGATCCTGGTCCTTGAGGTAAACTTTCTGCCTCTATTTTGAGATTAATACAATAGAACGATAAATGTTATTTTTTTGAGTTCATAAACCTCTTAATTTTTTGATAACTAATACAATATCTGTAACTTTATGGTGAATAGAAAACTTGATAGAGAACTTAGTAATTCACAAGAAAATAATGACTACGTATGTCATTATATTTGACACATTATCTGCAGACCAACTTGATGCAATGGTACCGTACTCACAAGAAAATACTAGACTTTGGTGAACTATCTACAAACTCAATTGTGTATTTTTCAGCTAACTGGATTACAATACTTTGCTGATGTAAATCAACAGTCTAAAGGCGAAAACAAGTATTCACCTGTCAGTAACCCACGTAATAGCAGTTGTATAATTTCCGAAAACAATTAATATTTGCAGTCTCAAATTATAAAATGGAGTGGGATCACTCACAAAGTCGCATAAATGATTGGGTGGATCTAATAATTCTCCAGCTAAACTGAAGTAAACAGATTATGTCTAAACTTGTGATCGTGTGCCAAGAGACTAGTGAGTCAAAGCTTATAAGACATAAAAATTATGAAACTAATTGGTTTATCTTAGCATATAGATCAACCACATGGATATCCTACCGCAGGTATTAGTCAAATACTCAGAACAACTGACAGACATCGCATAGTACTGATCACTGCTTGCTACAACGCAAAGATTAACTCTCAGATTCATGTGGCCATGCTGAATGTGAGACCATTGGACAGAGCAATTGTTAGCATTCAACTTTTACATTTTTGACTACTGATATCATTGTGGTTGTATATAACTATTGGGTTACTATTGCCATCTACCACTTACACTTTCACGGAGTGGTTTGTATTTGCGTATTTATGACGCTACAATGAGCAGCATTGAATTGCTAGGGAAAAATTCATAGCGGGATTATATCCCTTCACTAGTATGGGTATAGCAGTGACCTCAGTGTTTGGGACGTGACAGTTTTACACGAGCGTAAACGCAGACACATTAAGACTCAATTGTACTAACTTCGGTTGTCTAAATATTACTTACCGTGAATAAAGACATAAAGATGTAACTTATTGCATTAAGAACTGGATTTTCAAGTAATAGCTACCAAGTCTGAGTCTCCCCTCACCTACTTCGGTAACCAGGCACTCATACAACAAATAAGTTCCATAGCTTAGTACATAAATATATATCGAGTTTAGTTAAATTATATTTATTATTATATAAATAAAGACTTACATACGTAAACCTAGTATTACAATACAAAGCCTACTGAAGTATAAGAATGCATCCAACAGAAAAGATAATGTTACGCTAGATAATTTAACTTACAGCTTGAAAAAGATAAAATCCTTTGGGAGGACTTTCACCATCTTTTATTTCTCGTAAAATTTGTTCTAGTTCAGTAATACTAATATTTCCTGAAATAGATGTACGTGGCTTTTGCTCAGGGATTTTTTCAAATCGGTGCTAGTGATTAAATATTTCTCCTCGGATTTACAATCCAATTTTTCCGAATCACTAGTAGATGATAGCACAGAAATTACTGATGACTGACTTCGAAGACGTATACCTGGGTTTATATTAAGTTTTGGTTGTGATAAAGAAAAAAATTATTATAAACAGAATGGCTATGATATGTCTGAGAAGTTGACATTGATATTTCATATATTTTGAAAAATAAAAGACATTATTAAAACAAACAATCTGAGTGAAGAAATTCCTTTTTCAATTAATCCCTCATCAACATATATATATATATATATATATATATATATCTTAGAGCATGGGGAGATTAGAAGGAGTATGATAGGTAACTTTAAAGGCTTTATGAATATTAACTTGGCGACCAGTGACATTGATAACCTGTTATTAAACAACTGTCACCGCTAGATTGGGATGTAATTTTGCGTTTTGGAAGTGATATATATATATATATATATATATATATATATATATATATATATATATATATATATATATATTAGTGTAGAGCCATTGATGAGGAAGTAATTGAAAAGAAATATTTTTCCGCTCACATTGTTTTTTTTAAAACATTTTTATTCGTCCTAAAAGGAGAAATCTTACTCTTTTTCAGTAGGAATTTTTACCAATAGAAGATCAGCGCAAATTCTTAGTAAAATCAACCAATTAAGTGGGAAGTTGAAAAAATTTTCGGAAAACATAGCATTCTACCAACAGTAATATACGAAAAATCTAACAGTTATCACTTGACTTCCATACATAAGGCGAAAAGTTCCAATGTATAGTTAAACTTGTGTTGTGATGTAATGAGTTAACACTAAATCGGCTTACGAAGTCAGTAAGTAAGCCATGGTATGGGATCTGGGATTACATTTTAACGGTTCAAGTTGCCACAACCCATATAAAGATGCAAAGTACCAGGATGAAAAGTATAGAAATAAGGAAGAAAGTAGTCAAAAGTTGTGAAAAGGAAAAAAGGATACAAACCATGGAGGGTTATCACCTGAATTGACGACAACCAGTGATGTCTCTCAGGGATACCCGCTGTCGCCATTCCTGTTTAACTTCGTCATAGATATATTAATGGACATAACCTCAGATACTTGTGACTTTAACAGCGAACGATCTACTCCCTGGAGGCAATCTGCTTGACTTGGACTACGTGAACGACATTCTTCTCTTAGGTGAAGATGATAACAAAATGTAGGGTCTTCCGAACGCCTCCAGCAGAAATCTCAGTATGTTTGGCATGCGTTCCACACCTCGTAAATGCAAAATGATGTTCCGCGACTGGTCTACAATTACTCTCAGTTTAATGAAAGGGAGTGAAGTAGTCGAATGCACCAACCACCTCACTTATTTGGGGAGTTGCATCAGATTGAACTGACTGGTTACTGAAGAGTTCTCAGCTCGGATACAGTAGGCCCGTTTAACATTTGTCAGCTTGTATCATCTCTGGTGCCGACTGATGAAATATTCAGCTAGATATTAAAGGACGGGTATACTGAGTTGCAGTTCCTTCTGTCCTGTTATGTGGTTGTGAAATATGGTCGTTGAAAGTAGATGATATGAAGAGACTATAGGTCTTTGATGGTGGGTGCCTTTGTGGGATCATCAATTGAGGAATATCGAAGTTAGGCGAAGAGTATTGAGCAAAATGAGGTTGTGAACCTTCACCGAATGATGTGGCTTGGACATGTGTTACGGATGCCGAGCCACTGCCTACCTTGATGTGCAATACTAGCCGGAGTTGAATTGGGTAGGAAGAAGGATTAAGGTAGCTAAACGAAGATATGGTGCCAGTTTATGAAGTCTTTAACTACAGATCTGAGTCATGTAGGGAGGTACAGATTGTTTTCCCTGGAGAGAAAAATAATCAATGTTTGAAGACTTTTGGTGGAATGATTAAAAATTGGCTGCAATGGGGCAGATGAATGCACTCTGCCATCTTCAAAATCTTTATTGTCTCTTAATACACATTTGTTCACCTCAATATTATTTTTTCTGTACACTGCTCCCCTGCAGATTACTGTAAAGTTTAGGAACTTGAACCGATACACTTGTGTCAGGTTCTACGTTGATCTGTCTCCCTTTAATGGTAGGGCTACACTGTAACATCACTTTCTATTTATTGTAAGTATTTTACGAGTAGCATTTCAGGGCGTACAACATAGCATAATTTTACGCCAAAACTGTAGTTATTGATAATTGATAGGTGTGAGACATAAAATAAGAGAATGGATGATGGTTTAGTTGGGTTTCCATACAACAATCAGATTCTATATCGATGGTTATAATGTTGTAATTCTATTTTGTTTTCTAAATAAACACCAAGATAAACTTAAAGTGGTGGCATTAACTGAGAGGTAGGTAGTTTATCGATCCTAAGAATAGGGGAAGGAATCGAATACACCCTAGAAAATGTCTACATATTTTTATGATTTTCTTGGTGATCCGCACACGCGTTGCGGTCTATTTCGGACTCGTGGCTAGATCTACCAGGAGTATGAAGCGATAGACGCTGGATTAGAGTCTTGAGGGGAATATCACTTACTGAGATGCAGGTAAGGCTAACCAACGAGTCCCGACCAGGATGAAACCCGAATCCTAGATTCCAAGCAAATTATAACATTATGAATCTTTAGGCAGTACTGAGGCATCCATATAGGAGCTGATATGCCAACAGAGGTGGATTATTCCGACCCAGTATAACAGCGGGAAAAAGAAGAATATATATTCACAGATTTATATACTAAGCTGTGAATTGTGAATCTTATGATACCAGTTAAGCAATAACTTTCCACTGTCGCATATCCGATAAACAGATTAAAGTGGAATTATAACCTACCACAGTGCCCAGGTTCTACTTCTATGTTACGACATTACTTCGATATCGAAGTATATATATAATCCTTGGAATGTAGAAATGCGACAGAATAGTTTCAAATAAAACGTTACGAAATATGTATTAGCAATTGGAATTTTAATTTGAAAATTTGTTTCATGTTGCTATGCATTTCAACGAAACGCTGGAAGTACTGTTGCATAAACTCACAGAAACTATACCTACTTGAAATTATTAGCAAAACTTGTTAGAGTAAAGGTGATTTGTTCACTTCCAGCTTAGCGTTTATAGTACCAATGATAAATATGAAACGTTAAAGAATAAAACACATAAACACATACTTATTCTTCTACTGGCCGAACCTTCATTCATTTTACATGACTTTGTACCCGGTTCCTCTGGTTCCTCTTTGATGGATTTATTTACTTCAACGTGTGCGTCACCACCAACTGTATCAGAATTACCAGACAGCTTATCCTCTTTAGGATTATTGGTAACTGAAGTGACAGCTAAATCAATCTTCATTTCATCTGAAGTATTGGTAGAATGGTCATTTTGATATGCAGGAAGACTGACTATGTGATCAACAGAAATTGACTGTAACAGCTTATTCGGTGTAATAACATGGTTATCAGGCCGCAGTGACGGTTGAAAATATGGATCCCATATTGATGTCATGTCATCACTGTCAATATTATCCTCCAATAAACTGCATAAACTAGATGATAATTATAAGAAGAAAAGTCAAGACAGAATCAGTAGGATAAAAGTCTGAGACAAAACACACACTAAAAAAATGACTGAATATCGCTTACCGTGCTAAAGGTTGTATCAAATGGGTTTTTACATCTGGTACAGAGGAAATCACACAATTCTGTTTGAAAAAATCGTTTAATTTTTTTTTGATCTCAGGTAAAACAGCCAAAAGGAAATTCTTTCCAAATGCAGATGTTACCTCAGTATACGGTAAAGTTAGACAAAACTTTGGTGCATAACAATGACATACCCATCTACAAAAAGTGTAAAATAAAAAGTTTCGATGTGGGATGATAAGCCACTCACCTCATGTAAATTAGTTTGTATCCTGTTTTATTCTCATGTTTGCAAATTCTCTGGCTTGGATAAATCATCTTATATGAATTTACATAAGATAGGAATAATTTGCACAGCTCAATTGTTATATCAGGCTTTTGAGGGTTAGTGATAGCACAGAAGAGTAGAGCATTTCTAACAGCCTTTTAGAGACAAAAAAAGAAAAACTATACATCAAACTTAGATACACCTACTGTATCAATATTAGGTCGTTCAAACGGGGGTTTATCATCAAAGGCAGGTTGTATTTTGTTCATCAAAGCCTTACGAAGGCGCTAGAAAAAATATGATTGGTACTTATTGTTTCAGCAGGTTTGTTTTACCTTCATGATGCAAAAATAAATGTTTCTGGTTTCCGTATCCTCTTCTTTGAGCACAATATATACATACGTTCTACATCGTCAACCATTTGCACTGCATTACTCAGCCAAATACTGCAATTGGGATCGGACAGGCTATAGTGAACATGATGACAATTTTTGCAAATAGCTTCAATAATTTTGTTATCGACTTCACTATCTGCTGGTTTCCACACACTACACTTGCATCCTTCACTCTAAAATTAAACACTATTTTACTGAAAAGGTTTAAAAACACGCACCTCACATTTGGAATATGGTAAATACCTTTTCAACTTTCGTCCCAAAGTCAGAGTTTCCACACTAAGAAAATTATCTTCTACATAGCTCATACCTGTCTGACATTACAGCTTATTAGATGTATATATAATATTTAACACCATTATTAAGGACGGAGTTTGCAGCTGAAAAGTAACGAAAAATAGGCTTGGTTAGTCAAAGTCACCAGAGAACATTACAAAGTCGATCATAAGTTTAAGAAAACCAAGATAAATACTAATCAATGACGCAGATAATTAGTCAAATTAAAACGAACCAAACAGTTATTACTATATTTTTATTATAGTCGGGAGTTGTTACTAAAAGAAATCCATTTTAACCCTGCTTAAATACTTATTATTTGACGAATAGCTCACATGTAAATGACACTAGTCTTGTTCTTTGCACATAAAAGGGATTGTTTACTTCATATATAACTTAGTTCGCCAGCATATTTGTCTTCTGATTCGTTGGTAGTTTCGAGGACAGTCACCATGTACTAAGTTATTTGTAGCTTCCCATAAACCAACCGAAATCTCTTTATAAACCACATGCACGTTCTACAAGTGAGTAATGGCCTACATCTATTGTACGCAGACTAAACATACTATCTGACTGGCCAAACCTCAACAGGTGGAGTAGGATTCCAACCCTCTGTCAATCATGTAGAATGTGAGTGGTTAGAGTGATGAACCACAGCTCCATGAAGACCATCAACATAAGTCTTAAACACTAACTGCGTAATAGATACAATATCAAAGAAACTTAGACAAATGTGTATCCAAAGAAGCATGAAAACAAACCGTTTAACATAAAAGATTAGTCAGAGAATATGAAATCAAGAAACCTTATCAGTGATGCATAAAAATGTAATAAAAAGACAAATAATATGTAAAGTAGATGCCATGGATATGTGCTGTGTTTAAGTGACAGACATACAGGACCCAAGTATGGTTATTCACTTAACCTTACCAAGGGAATAAAAGGAATCCGCAAAATCCGCCCTTCGAGTTTCTGGAGATTCGACGTCTAGTTTTCACGATCTTACAAGTGTAGGTATGGAATTCAGTGCTGAAGCAGAAAGTCCACCACTCGATTGAACTCCAGTTGGTCTATGTGACCCTAGACTGAACACTGCAGTGAAGACTAAAATGAATAGTGGAGCTCGCCGTTGTTTCATTTTTAATCTGTTTACGCACCTACTGACTGCAGTTCAGAGTATTTTTACCGAAAACTGTTTAGCCTACTACCGAAACCCAAACGTCCATACGCGGTTGTTGTAGCAGGCGATTTCAACGCGCATCTGGGTAGGGAAAATCAGGCAGAAAGGTACTTAGGTAGCACTTTGGGGATTCCATTCAAATGAACAGACAACGGTGATCACCTGCTACAACAATACTTAGATGAGGATCTATTTTTGACCGGCATGAACCCCAGAAATAAAGAAAGACATTATCTGACGTGGCATCCACCAACCTCAACTGTGTGGTGGACACAGACCATATTGCTATCAGTTATTGCTGGAGATGGCTGGTGGAAGACTGAGGCTCCTTCCAGAGCACATCTTTGGACAGTGACCAAGAGTTGGTTTGAGAACGAGTGTCTCCGCACAAACGCACGTAGAAAAGTCACAGTAATAAGACCATTGCGAGTGCAGCTCGACAATGAGTGCACTGAAGCTGCTGTCAACAAGAAAATGGCTTAAAGGCACCGGAACAGAACAACAGCACTCATCGAGAAGAACCTTGAAGCCATCTCATCTGCTGTAAAAAGAGCGTTGAAAACAGCAACTGGTTCCCAGAAAGTGGTTAGTAAGGACCAATACATGTGTGCAAAAGCATCTCTACAGGCTACGAGCACAATGAGGGGCGGAAGTAACTCACATACACACTGATAAAGTCTATGCAATGACCGCAAACAGAGGTGGGCAGCGACGGTTAGAAATGAAAAAGGCAGCATCAATAGGTAACAGTAGACAGCTATTAAGGCTTCTCAATGAAATTGGGACAAAATGGTCAGTGATTACTTAGACTTTAGCGGAGAAGGATGGGTCTGTGATTTATTCGCAGCGAAGACGAATAAAACGATGGGTGAGAAACTTCGAGGAACAGTTCAACTAACCTCTAGCTACTATTCTGTGGGCCGCTATACAGTCAAGTCTTAAATAAACACTGAATGTAAGACCTCGAACACCTAAAGAAATCGAGAAAGCTGAGACAAGGAGTATCAGAGTCAAACGGATTAGTTTTAGAAGTAGTTTGGGACGATCGAAGAGAATTATTAATCCAGTGATTTGAATTGTTTACTAGCGTATGGGAGTCACATACAATCTCCTCTGTCTGGTCTCAATCACTGACCATCCCAGTCATCAAGAAAGGCGAGTCTTCTTGTGATAACCACAAGGGGAATCAGCCTGAGGAATAAACTGTTTGGGATTCTAATTTCTGTTATCACTCAACATTCGAATGGAGCTGGAGAATAGCAGGAACGAAAAAACCAGACGGGATTCAGATTTGGTGGTGGATGTGTCGAACAGATACATTCACCAGCTTCGTCAAGTTCCGAAACAAAGACACACTCACCAACCCACGAAACTCGCTTTATTTCTTGACCTCTAAGTGGCATTCGACTCCATCGACCGATAGGTCTCATAGTAGTGTCTTACTGAAAGTGATGCCGAATACGTAGATCACTTTGTTGAAGGCTCTGTACTCGTTCAATCACATGCGAGTTAAAATTCATGACGTTATCAGGTGAGTTGTGTACGTCGAGTGGTGTCTCAAGGATATCCATTCTTATTCACCTTCACCAGATCTACTAATGGAGGTTTCTTTGTCATAGAAGACTCACTAGTGGGTTAGAGTATGCACGTGAAGACGCTGACAAGATGCATAGTCATCTGGACGCATTGGGTGCGAATTAGAGAATATTTGGGATGCGTTTCTCACCATCCAAATACAAACTATTGCTTTAGGTCAGTCAGTGTTGTCACCTTGTCTAATAGTAGAAGGTGAAGTGGTTAATTCTCCTAAACTCTATCCTTATTTAGAAAGTTAGAACAGCCACAATGGGTTGCTGACGACCGAAATCTCTCGATGAATACAAAAAGCCTGACTTGCTTTCGCCAATTTACATCGTTTATGGCGTCATCGTTTTCAGTTCGTTCTGCTTTACCATATAGTTATGAAACATGGCCATAAAACGTATACAACCAGTTAACTTAAAGTATCACCACTTCACAGGCTAAAAATCAAATTCAGGCATGTAACATCATAGACAAAAGAGTGCGCGCTGTTGACAGGACTGCTCCTACTTCTGCTCGGTGAATTCACAAATAACTCAAGGCTGTTCTCAGCATTATTTCAAAATTCCTGGGAATGGAATGATACAACAAAAGTGAGTGCGGAAGGAACAGTAATAACAGGGAAACAAGACCCATCCCAAAGATCAGCAGAGATAAACATGAACAGTAACTTCGGAGAGGACTCCAATGCTGTTAGCAGTTGGTAACACATGTTGTCACTGTATAAGGAGTCCAAGGCCTACACACAGGAGCTAGTGCAGATTACGCTGGTCTAAAAGCCTGGGTAGAGCAACAGTACTAAGAATTTTCGTCATATGGATGTTATGTTCACACGAAATTGCGACGGTTAATAAGACTGTCTGAGGTAACTTCTGTCGTAGAAACTCGCGTTGACGGAAAGGTACTATAGCACCACTAATACTCTCGTAAGTGTAGACAGGTGGGATGATAATACTGACCAAAAAGGTGAAGTCAAAGTTGTTTCTGGAATTCTTCAGGGCATCTTTCCACGTTAGTCATGAATAGGTAATCAACAAGTTGAGACTAATCACTATATGCTGGTCATTCAGTATCAACTGGAGATCTTGCATGATTGTGTAACGCTTCAGGTTGCACCTGTTTACACCAGTATCTCAGGATAAAACGCAGCAAAATGAAAGATTGAAAAATATGGAAGCAATCAAAAGCGGTAGTGTGATGAAAAGCGAAAAATTATGGATACAACTATAAAAATAATCAGCTTGAAGATGAAGATGACGTGTGGGTGCATATGCACAAGTGAGGTCAAGTCTGGACCATACCAGCTAGTCACCAATCACCAATTTCGGTAGACAGACCCCAACCGCGGTCTACATTGCCCTAAAGAGCTTAGAGCAGCAATCTAAGACTTCATAAACTGATACCGTGTTTAAATATGAGCAAATATAATCTGTTCTCATCCTGAACCTACTTCAACTAAATTAGAGCAACTAGGCAAACTGACTAGGTAAGTGTAGCACGTCCTAGCCATCTGAGTAGATGAAGGACCATAGCCTCATCAACTGGCTCGTTTTTTTCAGCGGCACCAATGTATACCAGTCCTGGAAAAACAACTTGCATTTAGGTGATATAGAATGCATTCAAAACATTCTCAAATTGCCTATGAATTTTTCTAGGACACACTGCTATTTCATTTCACATGTAACTCACTACTTGAAAAGTTTAACCGGCTTCACTGAACACAACTTTTCCAACTGAAATGTTCACACAAAACTGGAAAACAGTGTCCAGATAGAGCTGAAGATGCATATTCCCTACTGGTCGACATGCAAACATTCACACTGACTTTCAAGGTTATTTGCTTGGTAGGTGGTTGTGGGAGCTACTGTATGTCCCAACCACCCACACTGTAATCTACGAATTGTCTGTA